GCAACAATGTCTGGTGTCTGCAGCTGTATTACATCACTTAACTCCAGTATCTTCGATCTTACTCCATCTATGTTGGTGTATGCAATCTTCAGGAACTTGTTCCCCCTCTCCTTATTCTTCACTCCCCCTCTCTCTAATGATTTTGTTGGTTTGCCTTTATGTACCACTTTACTGGTCTGCCTACCCCTATCACTTTGTAGAAAAAAGAATTGATTTCTTCTTCATTCCTGCTCTCATTTAAACGTTTTGCCTCGGCAAGGTTCAGTTTCAGCTTCTCTCTATCTTCTTTTGAAAGATCTCGTCTTAACGACCACACTTTCCCATCCTCATCACTTTGTAATTTTCTAGCATTCCTTAGTACTTCTTCCATCTGTTTGGCACCGTTTAGGGTAATCCTCAAAGGTCGATCTTTCCCTTTTACATATCTGCCTATTCTCCTGTAGTCGCACACATTCTCTATGGTTGTAAGACCTTCCACGAGGCCAACAATTTTATCTACTACTTTTGCTTCTTCTACAGCTCTTTCTGACCTAGATGTTATCTCCTTTTCTTTACAGCCAAAAATGATCAGGGACTTACTCCAATCAACTGTGTTTTGCACCAACTTCGGGTTAGATGCCAATTCTTTTCTCACTTCCGGCCTAATGTTTGTTTTATCTTGGTTGCCGCAGTGTTTGACTTCCTTAACTGCTTCTTCTATTTTTTCCTTCTCCTTGGTCACTTGTGCATAAGTGAGTTGCATATCTTTCTTGCACTGTTCTATTCCCTGTGTAACTTCCTCCATCTGTGCTGACAAAATCGTGCATCTTGTGGCGCTGGCAGAGCCGCTTCGGCTGGCTTTCGGTCTTGATGTTGCTTCTGCACCGTTAGTAAGCTGTCTCGTGTGTCGTTTCACCTCCGGCCTGTTCATGCACCGCTTGCACCATCCTGGTCTCTGGTCAGCGTGCTCTGTCTTCTCGGTTTGTAGTGCCCCTTCGGTTCAGGTGTGTTTTTTCGTCTGCTCTTTTTCCTTTTGGCATTTGCCTCTGGGGGTCGGGTCGCTGTGTTTTCTTGCTACTTCGGTTTTAGCGTTTTGGTTGTTTGGTGGCAGCAGTCTCCATCTTTTCTGGCGCAGGGTGGGGCTGCTACATTCTGGAGGGGTCCAGGGTTTGTTGGTGCTTCGTTGCCGGGGGTGTGTCGTGTTTTGTGTTCAGTGGCGGCCCTCCGCTGTTGTTTGCGTGCCACAGCATTTGGGTCCGGAGCGTGTTTTGCATTGATCCGGTTCTGTTCTTCCCGGTTCGCGGGTGATGGTGTCCCGGGTTGTCAGTCGTGTTCTTGCGGCTAAGCTGCCTGTGTTCTTCCCTCATGCCCATGGCGTTCGTGGCTTCGGTGCTCTCGCTGCCGTCTGGGCGACGTGTCCTTACGGTTTTTCGGGCATGGATTTTTGGTGTTCGTATGGGGGCCTTGCTGCTCGTTGTTCTCGTGTTGTTCCCGGGACTTTTCGGGGCTGTGGCGCCTTGGGTTGGGGTTTGCTGCCGGTTGTCTCGCTTCCATGGGGGGTGCGTGGTGTCTGCCTCTCGGTTCCGTCCCTTTGACCTTCCTCTGTGGGTAGTTAGCTCCGGGGAGCCGACGGGGCTCCCCCCAGAAAACCAGCGTTGAATGTAATTAAACGCCATTTTCTGGGTGAGACCCGGAGGCTCCCCGGCAACCCTCCCTCCCTCCGGTCGGTGTTTTTTTGCGTGTTTTGACATCCAGCCTCAGAACTGATGGGTGGATAGCCGGCGTGGGAGGTCTGGGGCTCTCCCTTCCCCCTCCCGGGGAGGGGGAGCTGCGCAGACAGCGGCGCGGTGACGTATGACGTCATACTAGTTTGCTTGTTTTCTGTTGAAGAGTTCTATCCACTAGTTCGGCTTTAGGTAGCAATTTTCACCAGAATAGGGGTTTGTTTTGGAATGCTTACCTTTCTGGATGCTTGACCCGGTCGATGGCAGACATAGAATGCTTCCAACCACATGGGGGTTTCTATAGGCCATTGCTTCCCTTGCCTCTCTGAGGGGGCCAGGCTCTGGCCGTGGTCCCCGGTAGGCCCTAGAACTCCATACACAGCCCTGGTCACATGACTGATGCCAAAGTCTGACATTAGCATATCAGCCTGGGAAAGGTCCGGGGAGCCTCCGGGTCTCACCCAGAAAATGGCGTTTCATTACTGTACATTCAACGCTGGTTTTAGGGACCAAGTTGTAGCTCATGGTTCCTGGTATGCCAAACAAAACTGCACAGCTGAAATAACCTAAAAGTGTAGAGCCATTTCAGGGAAATAGTTTCAGGGAGCCAATTGGGTTCATCAAGAAAGAGGCATTTCATTAGATTCAATGTTGGTTTTTGAGTTCAGAAGGATTGACCAAATATCTGATAATTTATACATATCAACTCGGTTGGAACTGAACTGATTAGACTAAGGGATGTCAAGTGTGTAGATGTTGAACTAAAACTTAAAGGTATATGTGAGAAATGAAAGCCAGGAAGAATAAAATATGATTGTAAGACTGTTCATTATTGTGAAAATCCCAAATACAGTGGAGCCTTGATTTACAATGGTAATCCGTTCCCGAAGATGGATCGTAAGTTGAAATATCGTAAGTCAAATCAAATTTTCCCATAAGAAATAATGGGAATTGAATTAATCCATTCCATACCCCCAAAAATATTAACTTAAAAATACATTTTATACTGAATACAATTTTTTTCTCTAACTACAATACAGTACATATGTTTATCTTACCTATATAACTCTTGACGACGTATGGAAGATGATGATGGGGGGGGGGAGGAGAGGTGTTACTGTTTGGAAGGGGAGTCCCCTTCCAATATAACATCAGACAGTGATGATTTCTCTGGGGTACTCTCTCTCCTACGTTTTGCCTGCATACCACTAAAACCTGGTTGTGGTTCACTGCTTGTTTGTCTCACTAAAAATTTGTCTAGCGACGCTTGTTTTTCGCTTCGTTTTAACGTCTGTAATGATGCATCACAGTGTCTTTGAAAAGGTTAAGGCAATGGCCTACTACAGCTTGATTTGGGTGAGTCGTTTCAGCAAAAGTTTGCAGTTCTTCGCATGCTGCACACTTTTTCTTAATTTTTGAGGAAGGGACAATCTGTACTGCCTTCTCCCCTGAAGAAATTTCCTCAGCTGCCTCTTGTTGCTGCTCCTTGTGAAGGGCTTGGAGTTCTTCGGTGGTCAGTTCTTCGCTGTGTTCCTCCTCCAACTCCTCAATATCAGCACCATTCAACTCCAAGCTCAATTGCCGTCCCAGAGAAACAATTTCCTCAACAAGAGGCACTTCAGGTTCAGGCTCAAACCCCTCAAAGTCTTGTTCTGCATCACATTCAGAACACAATTTTCCCCAGCCAGAGATTATGGTTCTTAGAGTCACTTCTTGCCAGGCTTTTGTCTATGAGTTTTAAAGCACTACAAATGTTAAAATGGTTTTCCCAGAACATTTTGAGGGTGAGGTTTGTGGCATTCGTCACTTCGACACATCTCCGAAAAAGTGCCCTTTCATAAAGTTTCTTAAAATTGGCAATGATTTTCTGGTCCATAGGCTGAAGTAGAGGAGTGGTGTTGGGAGGAAGGAACTTTACTGTAACAAAACTAAATTCCTCCATCAATGAATCCTCCAAGCCTGGAAGGATGGGCAGGAGCATTGTCAAGAAAAAGCAGGGCCTTGAGTGGCAAACTGTTCACCTGTAGATATTTTTTTGGGCAGGGTACACCACCTCATTGACCCACTCGATAAAAGTGGTGTGAATAAGGTGGTGCCACCCATACCTTAGCATTAGCCCTCCACATCTCACACATTTTGTTTTTCTGAACATTATATATTTTGAAAACCCTTGGATTTTCAGAATGATACACAAACAAGGGTTTAATTTCCAACTCGCCGCTCGCATTACCACGCAGCACAAGAGTAAACCTATCTTTCATAAGCTTGTGTCTGGGCAATGACTTCTCCTTGGTAATGTATGTCTTCTTCGGCAGTCTTTTCTAGAATAGCCCTGTCTCGTCACAATTAAACACTTGTTGTGGTAGGTATGCCTCACTCTGCACAAAATCTTTAAATTCGCCAATAAATCTTTTAGCCGCTGGTTTGTCAGAGCTGGTACCCTCCCCATGCCTCACAACACTATGAATGCCACTTTTTTTTTCTAAATTTCTCAAACCATCCTCTGCTCGCCTTGAACTCTTTCGCTTCTGCATCACATGTTCCAGGGTTTTCTTTATAAGAAATTCATGCAATTTCCTTGCTTTTTCACAAATGATGGCCTCTGAAATGCTATCACCTGCTAACTCCTTGCTGTGTATCCAAATTAATAACAACTGTTCAACATCCTCAAGTGTTTGTGTTCTATGTTTCGTGATTATTGATATGCCTTTTGCCACTTTAGTACTCATGATGTCCTTTTTCTTAGCAATTATGGTGGATATCATTGACTGAGATTTGTTGTACAGTACTGCCTAACTAGTTCAGCAACCCGCACACCATCTTCATGTTTACGAATGATCTCATGTTTTTCCGCTATGGTCATCCTTACATGTGTTTTCATATGTTGGACCTTACCACTGACTTTCTTGGAGCCCACGGTGCATAATATATAAGAACCATATAATAATCAGTTTTTATGTTCAAAAATAAAAAAAAATCACCAAAATAATGGAATTTTTTATAAGCGTGATCGTCACTAAGCGGGCGGCTCTAGTAAACTGAGGTAGGTCGGCCCGCCTCGACCAGGAACCACGCGCTCGGCCGACCCGAACGCGTGTCAACGAATATTCTTTAGTCGACGACACTATTGTAAGTCGAGTAGCATTTTCTGATCAAATTTATATCGCAACTCAAAATTATTGTAAGTCGGGGAAATTGCAAGTCAAGGTGTCACTGTATTGCTGAAATAATAGAAATAATTATTTTTTTACTTCACTTACATATAGCTTTCTTACTTATAATTTTATTTTTTTTCAGGGGAACTGAATTCTGTAGAAATGTATGTAACTGTCAAGTCTAAGGTAAGAAATTGCTTGTTTAGTTTACAGTGTTGTTGTATAGTCTGGTATCAGTCATGTGTAATTACTTAACACTTTCGCTCACCGGGCCCGGGACCTCCCACTACCCCAGGTGGGCTTGGGCGTTCCACGGGAGCGAGAGAGAGAGCGCGGTAAATTTTGAAAAGTGTATAATCTTTTCAACTTTGTCAGCTTAATTCTCGTCCTAAGATATTCAATTTGGTATCAATGTGTTCGCAATAGATTTCTAGATGGACGAAATAATGCTGTGGTGCTGTGGCTAGCGCTGTGAACATCGTGAACAGCATTGAATCACTGATATTTGAACATTGTACCAAGTCATTATCACACGCAGGCTCTTCTATAATACTATCATGGCTAAATAATACAAGTTATATATATATTATGACATTATTAGGCGATGCTGTGGTCACACGCTGAACAGCAGTGCTGTGCGCTCATGCTGCGAGCGCCAGCCTTGGTTGCTCACTCAATACTGAGGCTCCCACACCTGAGAATGTGGACCACGATTTTTTTTAAAGATTGCGTCTGTTTACAACAGCCCTGAGGAAGCTGATGTGAACCCCATGTAGCCGCGGGAGTTTTGAATGGAACGTGAAAAATACAAATACCCGGAGGCGCGTTGCGCACCTAAAGCCTGGGCCTGCAGGCACGTTGCGCAGTTAAAGGTTTAATCCGCTTGACCATCACGACCGGACAAAAGGAAGTGATAGCCGAAGCTATTTGAACCACTTCCCTGCCGGCACTCAAATGGTAATCTTAGGCATAGCATTTTATCAAATCACCTCATTCTTGGGGCACACGTGAGGAACACAAATGCGAACAAGCCTGAATGGTCCCCATGACTATATGCGACTGAAAACTCACACCCCAGAAGTGACTCGAACCCATACTGCCAGGAGCAACGCAACTGGTATCTACAGGATGCCTTAATCTGCTTGACCATCACGACCGGACAAAAGGAAGTGATAGCTGAAGCTATTTGAACCACCCCACCGCCGGCACTCGGATAGTAATCTTGGGCATAGCATTTTACCAAATCACCTCATTCTTTGGGGCACACGTGAGGAACACAAATGCGAACAAGCCTGAATGGTCCCCAGTTTTCCCCTGAATGGGGTTCACCCCTGAATGGGGTGTGAGTTTTCAGTTGCATATTGTCCTGGGGACCATTCAGGCTTGTTCGCATTTGTTCGCAGGACCCTTTCCTCCGTTTTATGAGCTGTGGAAAAGAAGTTCCTGTAAAATAGTCTAATAGGGGGTATAGGTGTTGTGTTAGTTGTCTCTTCAGAGGTTGCATGGCTTTTCACTTTCCTTCTTATGATGTTTTCGACGAAACCATTGGAGAAGCCGTTATTGACTAGGACCTGCCTTACCCTACAGAGTTCTTCGTCGACTTGCTTCCATTCTGAGCTGTGGCTGAGAGCACGGTCGACATATGCGTTAACAACACTCCTCTTGTACCTGTCTGGGCAGTCGCTGTTGGCATTTAGGCACATTCCTATGTTTGTTTCCTTAGTGTAGAATGGTTTCGTCGAAAACATCATAAGAAGGAAAGTGAAAAGCCATGCAACCTCTGAAGAGACAACTAACACAACACCTATACCCCCTATTAGACTATTTTACAGGAACTTCTTTTCCACAGCTCATAAAACGGAGGAAAGGGTCCTGAAAGATATTGTTAATAGAAACGTTATCCCTACAGACAAAAATCAGAGGATACAACTGACGATTTACTATAAAACCAGAAAAACGGCCAGCCTACTCATGAGAAACTCTCCAGACACAAAACAGAACGCTTTAAAAGAGACTAACGTCGTCTATGCCTTCAAATGCCCTCTTGGGGACTGTAAGCTCCAAAAAACCAGTATATAGGCAAGACAACAACATCTCTTTCTAGGCGTTTAACGATGCATAAGCAACAGGGCTCCATTAAGGAACATATAATCTCTTCCCACAACCAAACCATCGCCAGAGAAATCCTAGTAAACAACACAGAAATCATCGATAGATACAGCGATAGCAGGCGGCTTGACGTTTGCGAGGCACTACACATCAAGAAGTCAACACCAGCAATCAACAGCCAATTATTGCACAACTATATTCTACCCACCTCAAGACTCCGCTCCAATATAGAAGCATCAAGAAATATGGACCAATAGGCTTTCTACAAACACTTCTATTCAATATCCATTGTTTCGTGTTCTGTCTTGTGTTGATGAAATTAATACCCTATTAATACTCTTGTTCTTTCTTGTGTTGATGAAATTAATACCCTATTAATGCCACATCTTGTTCTGTCTTGTGTTAATGCCACATCACCCTTCCACCTCACTCAAATGTAGATATAAAATCGGAGATGCGTAAGTTCTATTCAGTTGTGTATTTGTGAACTAAAGTCTTTGAAAATGTAATAAGTTTTACGAAACGCGCTCGTGTCGCGTCAGACTAGAAATAAAGAAATGTACGAAAGATTGAGAAAATTCGTGTTAGAATTATTAAGATTGAGAAATTCGGTTATATTTAATAATAAATATGTCTACAGGAAAGACTGCTACCAAAATATACCAAAATATACTATTATATATATATATATATATATATATATATATATATATATATATATATTATATATATATATATATATATATATATATATATATATATATATATCTATATATATATATATATATATATATATATATGACCGAAAAAGTAAGATTAATAATTCTAACACAAATTTTCTCAATATTTCTTATGTTTCTTTTCACTGTCGATGGTAATTGAAAAATTAGTTCTCCAAAATTCATTTTTAATTTCTAGTCTGATGCGACACTGGAACGCGTTTCGTAATAACTTATTACATTTTCAAAGACTTTAGTTTACACACACACAACTATAACCTGCAAACACTAAACAGATTTCTTACTATGCTATAATTCAAACGACACTTTTTATTTTATATACCTGCATTTGGGTGAGGTGATATGTTACAACAGTTTTGGATGAGGTGAAAACAAACTTTCAAACCAAGATAGAACACGAAACAATGGGTATAATATTGGGTAAGTTAAAGGGAAGAATGGAAGTACAGTGCAAAGGGCCTATTGGCCCATATTTCTTGATGCTTCTATATTGGAGCGGAGTCTTGAAGTGGGTAGAATATAGTGTGCATTAATTGGCTGTTGATTGCTGGTGTCGGCTCCTTAATGTGTAGTGCCTCGCAGATATCAAGCCGCCTGCTATCGCGTATCTATCGATGATTTCTGTGTTTTTTGTTAAGACTTCTCTGGTGATGGTCTGGTTGTGGGAAGAGATTATATGTTCCTTAATTGAGCCCTGTTGCTTATGCATCGTTAATCGCCTGGAAAGAGATGTTGTTGTCTTGCCTATATACTGAGTTCTTTGAGGCTTACAGTCCCCAAGTGGGCATTTGAAGGCATAGACGACATTGGTCTCTTTTAAGCGTTCTGCTTTGTGTCTGGAGAGTTTCTCATGAGTAGGTGTGGCTGTTTTTCTTGGTTTTATAGTAGATCGTCAATTGTATCTTCTGATTTTTGGTCTGTAAAGATTAACGTTTATATTAACAATATATTTCGGGACCCTTTCCTCCGTTTTATGAGCTGTGGAAAGGAAGTTCCAGTAAAATAGTCTAATAGGGGGTACAGGTGTTGTGTTAGTTGTCATCTTTAGAGGTTGCATGGTGTTTTTACCTTCCTTTTTATGATGTCTTCAACGGAACCATTAGAGACGCCGTTGTTGACTAGGACCTGCCTTACCCTACAGAGTTCTTCTCATCGACTTGCTTCCATCCTGAGCTGTGGCTGAGAGCACGGTCGACATATTCGTTAACAACACTCCTCTTGTACCTGTCTGGGTAGTCGCTGTTGGCATTTAGGCACATTTTCTATGTTTGTTTCCTTAGTGTAGACTGCAGTGTGGAAACCTCTGCTCTTTTCCATGACTGTTACATCTAGAAAGTTCAGCTTCCCATCCTTCTCCATCTCGTAAGTGAAACGTAGCACGGAACTCTGCCAAAACGCCTCATTCAGTCCTGCTGCTCCTCCTCCTCCTCTCTTCAGATGTCTGACATCAGACTACCTGTGTAAAAATGTCGTCAACATACCTGCAGTATATGGTCGGTTTCAAGTTCATGTCGACTAAGACTTTTTGCTCAATGGTACCCATGTTCAAGTTCGCAAATATGACACCTAGGGGAGAACCCATGGCGACCCCATCTACTTGCTTATACATGTGCCTATATGGGCTCAAGAAGAGTGCCTCTTTAGTACAAGCTTGGATTAGTTCTCTTAGAATGTTTTCTGGTATGTCAAGAAGAGTACAGGCCGGATCACGTTACACTCTTTCCGCTATCATCCCAGTTATTTGATCCACAGGTATGTTGGTAAACAGTGAATCTCATCCAACGAGGCTCTTATCCCTGTGGCCCATGTTCCCCACAGTAAGTCAACAAATCCTTTGGAGACTTCAGGCTGAAGGCGCAAGGGACATAAGGAATCAGCAAGCCGTTGAGTCGCTTCGCCAGTCTGTACGTAGGTGTGGGTATCTGGCTAATGATTGGCCGAAGTGGGTTTCCAGGCTTGTGTGTCTTGACATTTCCATACGCGTATCCAGGTTTGTGTTCCCCAATAATCTTTTGGCAGGTGGAGTCCGGGTTTCTTGGCGTTCTCTCCCCCTCTCTCTCTCTCCCCCCCTCTCTCTCTCTCCCCCCTCTCTCTCCCTCCTCCTCCCCTCTCTCTCTCTCCCCCTCCTCTCTCTCCTCCTCTCTCTCCTCTCTCTCTCTCTCTCTCTCATCCATCCATCCATCCCCCTCCCTCCATCCATCCATCCATCCCCCTCCCTCCATCCATCCATCCATCCCCCTCCCTCCATCCATCCCCTCCCTCCATCCATCCATCCCCTCCATCCATCCATCCCTCCCTCCATCTATCCATCCATCCCCTCCCTCCATCCATCCATCC